TGGTCTGATTTCAATGGCGCGTCCCAAACCGTAGGTCAGGATTCCCGATTAGGAAATACCCTATTTGGAAACCCGTCCTCCAACACAGTGATATTCCAGAGCACTTTTAGAGGCTGGGGAGGCTGCTTTATGTCTTTCTAAGACATATGGCTTCCACACTTTCCTTTGAATTAAAAAACTGCGGGTACGGGATCTGTTTTGGTCAGGCACGATGTGGCGGTGCACGGAATTCGCACGACAAGAATTTTGGTTGCTGAAGGTAGCACCTATACAGAATTCAGGGAAAAAATATGGGGAGATACCTTGACATATGATCTAAGACCGTAGCTACTTTTCAAGACTTGGATCGAGGTAGTGGCTACAGGGTGACGGCCGCGGGAGAAGGTCGACCTACGGTATCGACCTGTCAATCAAATCTAGACTAATTTTTTCCCCCTCAGTGTGGCCTGAGAGGCCTGAACTCGCACAGCATAGTTGGCTGAGCACGGGATCATCCGCATATCCGGACTGAATTTTGCGTGTTGCACTCCTCCGAAAGTCCATTTGCAAGTACCGGCATCACCGGATCGAAATGCCAAAACGGCAAATGTCAGAATCGAACCTCGACCATCCCGCCTACGGTAACGTACGGTGCCGATCCCTAGGCCGTCAATTCTACGGCCATGGAGGTGCTTAAAAAAGCTCAACGGCACCGGACGGTCCACGGCATGGTCGTGACGGGTCCACGGGCGGGGAAAATATCCGGGAGTCGTATTCACACCGAGATCCGTTGAGATTTGCTCAAGCCGAAGTTGGTACCAAAACCTGTCCAGAGATTTTCCCATTGGCTCGGCATCTTCCGGACCAACGGGAAATTTCCCGGATAGTTTTTGGTATGAACTCTGGCTGCACCAAAACTCATTAAATCTCGGTGTGATTTGTTGTCTAAAAATTGAGGGGATGCCGCCACAGGTTACATGGAAGCTGATTGGAACAAAACTCGGGATGCTGCAGAACCTCACAAGAATACAGCCACTGTTAAAACCACCCACACCTGTTCAACATTAGTGCGGGAGAACTTATCAGATGCTGGGATCCTCACAAAATGCATCCATATTCGTGAGCGTGCCGTGGTGGAGTCGAGAAAATCCTTGACGGAACGGGCACGGCACCCGTAGCACGGGTGCCGTAGAACCGTGATCCCGGGCACGGGCGTGCAGCACGCCGGTGCCGGATTCCGTGATTTATATACCTGGTACCTTGCCGCCACCATGTCTCCAGGAAATCCTCAGCAATGGCCCCTCTAGCTGGTGAACCACTCTCGCTTGTCGGCCCAGCGCTCGCGAAAGACATTCCGATCAAACCTCTGGCTGTGATCGCCGCGGTCGTGGCCATTCCGCTCGTCGTTCACCACGCCTCCCCTGTGCGTCTAACGGACAACCTCGAGGACGCCATGTCCAAGGCGAGAGCAGCATACACAGAAGCGATTGCGGACCACCTCTCCGTCTCTGAGATTGCAACTGAATCCAAAAAGCTGGATGAGTTGCGCTTGTTTTTCCGTTTCATGTTACCATGCTCAATCGTGGCCATCCAGTCTCAAACGTGAGGTCACTTCCATCAAATTGGAGACCCTACGCCACTCCCGGTCATATAGGGGATCGTTATGGGGTTTTTGCAAGGGCCGGACCTTCACCGTGCTTCGCTGCATCTGGAAGGTGCAGGATTTTGAAACAGAGATCAAGGAGAAGGTAATTTGGTTTGCACAACCGAGAAGGCTAGCCGACCAGTCTTTGAACCACAGATGCTGAAGGCACCGCGAACCGATGTTTCACCATCGAGACTTCAGGTATATAGCCCCGAAAGTGCTAGAAATGTTACCGCATATGTGTTATGTGCTTTACCCAGGGCCTGATCGAACTCTAATCGTACCGTACATTTTTTATCTATAATTTCTCATCATTTAGTCCGAGATAAAAATCAACCAACTGCCAACCCGGTCGACCCACCTTGATACTGTAAACCAGGCTAGGAGGTTCAATCCATAGATAATTTGACTGTAAATTTGAACTTGCGCAACTGAGGAAACTGCAAAGTCAGAACGATCTTCGCCTATTCGTACATACTCTGACAAAAAGCCAAAATGACCTATGGTTGATCCGGACGCTGGGAGTCGAACCCAGTTCCCCGCTTCAAACTCGCCAGTACCAGAATTACGAGCGGGCGTGCGCCGTGCACCACGTCCGAACTATCCACCCACCCATTTGTTTGAATATGCGAGCGCAATCTGACCTATAAATCCACCTGATGTCGGTGATAAGTCCGAACAGAATTATCTTATAAAGCGGGCAGGGCCGACAAGCGGCAAAGCCCGTTACCAAGAAACCTTTTACCTCAATTGAGCCTCAACAATAATATATGTTCTAAAGCGGCCCTACTTCAAGAGATTAATCCCACCCCGAATGAGGTGGAGATTATGAGGCTCGGTCGACGCAGCTCGCATTGGGCCGCACCTTCTCGCAGTTGCAAATTGTTCAATGTGTACCGGAGCACGAGTAACAGGATTCTTTGGAGAATATGGGAACAGTATGCAGTTGGATGCTCACGAGCTGAGTGCCGCTCGTCCTCAGACAAAATAAAGCGACAAACCACACATTTTGGACTTGTTTTGGACTTTAGTGAACACCGCAACCGAAGAAAGAAGAAACCATTCCAGATCCTTGCATGCATTTGGTGTCTACAGTTTTCTGCGAGACCGAATCAGACCCCAGCCTTGCTGTGGCCTAAGCAGAATTATTCAACTGCTGCTCGGGAATCATCGGCTGTGCAGCCGGAATGAGATGGCCGGAGAATTTGGCGGAGAGATCAAGTGTGCGATCAGCTTACGCAAAGCTGACGAAAAATGGAGTTTACTGCAGGACGTTAATTCAGCCTCCTAAAACCCTTACCTAAAGGTAACGGGAATATCGTCTTTAAAGGTTGAACGTTGAACGTTGAACAAAAGGTAAAGCCCCACCTAAATAATTTCGGGAGGCGTGTTGTGTTCGGAGGAGTATGCAGACAGATAATCAAAGGGAAAAAAAGGTATTCGTTATATACATCCATTCGGAGGCTGGGAGTCGAACCCAGATCTCCAGCTTCAAATTACTGGACGCGCCTAGGATAATGATATTGAAAGCGGGCGTGCACCGTGCACCACATCCGACTGCTGCACCTATCAGTTTCTACGAATATGTGAGCACAATCTGACTTGAACCGCAGTCGCGGTGCAAGTCCGAATAAAATCAACCAACTGCCCAGGTGAAATCGTGCAGTACATCAAGCCGAATTTATCTTTCTTTTTTGTAAAGGTTCGATCTATCAGATCCTTGTTGACTCTTACACCGTGCGCAAAGAGGAGACGAAGTAGGAAAACCAAAAAGCCAGAATGAACCTGTGATTTATTCGGATGCTGGGAGTCGAACCCAGGTTCCCTGCTTCAAACTCGCCAATACCACCATAGAATTGCGAGCGGGTGCGCACCGTGCACCACATCCGAAATATTCACCTACCTGCTTCTCCAAATATGTGAGCACAATTTGACCCGTAAAATCGCAGAATCCCGATCGGCGCAAGTCTGAAAATGAGTCTGTGGGGCCGGATAGTGAAGCGAAAAAAAAGGAGGGGAAGAAAAAAACAGCCAACCTCGTCTATTCGGACGCTGGGAGTCGAACCCAGATCTCCCACTTCAAATTCTTCAGCAAGCGAAACAATCGCGAGCGGGTGTGCGCCGTCCACCACATCCGAGCTATCCAACCCCTAGGCGAGACTTCATTGACTTGTATCACAAGTACCGCATATTGCCGGTTAGAACAAAATCAACCAATTGCCCAAGCACCCGTTGGCCCACCTTCATATGGTATACCAAACCCAGTTTTTTCGGTCTTTCAGGACGTTCAATCGCTCATATTCTGATAATCCTCTGTTAAACGTTAGCCTGTGGAAATTGAGCGGAACGACGACTACCAAAAAGTCAGCAAAAATCCATGCTTATTCTGACGCTGGGAGTTGAACCCAGGGCTCCCGCTTCAAAATCTCCGCCAGATGACCATAGAATCAAGAGCGAGCGTGCACCGTGCACCACATCCGAGTTTTCAATCTATCTGCCCATCTCCATGGGTAGGCGAGCACAATCTCGGGTCAATCTGGTGTTGACTTTGCCGGGCATAGAAATAGAATCACCATCATGATCCAGGAGTTGAACTCTTGCTTAAACACGAAAATCGAGTCGGGATCTACTCTACATCGCCCCTGTAAATACTAAAACAAACCCGAATGTGTAAAAGAGAGAAAGGAGGAGGACAAGAAGGAAAAAAGGGTCAATCGATCAAAATTATCCGGACGCTGGGAATCAAACCCAGTTATCCCGTTTCAAACTACTCGACGAGCTTAGGATATTGAAAGCGGGCGTGCGCCGGCCGTGCACCACGTTCGAGCTATCTATCTACTCATCTCCCTGGCTGTGTGAGCACAATTTCGACTGAATCTAGTCTTGACTTCCAGGGCAAAGAACAGCGAGAAAAAAAAGTAACCATCATGCGAGAGTTGAACATGAAAACCGACTAGGGAACCGTACCCGGGTATCGCGCTCGTAAAACAAACCCGAATGTGTGTGAGAGAGAAAAAAACGGCCCCATCACTCTATCATTCGGACGCTGGGAGTCGAACCCGGACTTTCTGCTTCAAATTCCATGTCGATATCGCGACATTGACAGCGAGCGTGCACCGTGCACCACGTCCGAATTCTCCACCCATCTGTTTTTTTGAATATGTGGGCACGATTTGAACCGTAAATTCGCAGTAGTAGTCGCGGTGAAGGAACCTCTAAAATAAACCAACTGCCCTGTCGACCCACCTTGAATGGTGACCCGAATTTCTTTCCCTTTTTCCAGGAGGTTCAATCTCTCAGATTTTTGGACTGTAAAATCGCGTTAAGGGGAGCCGAACGAGGAAAACCAAAGAAACATTACCAGACATATGGTGGATTCGGACGCTGGGAGTCGAACCCAAGTCTCCCGCTTCAATCAGCATGCACCTTCCATACAAGGAAGCGGGCGTGCGCCGTGCACCACATCCGAGTTATCCAACTATTGGTTTCTCTGGATATACGAGCACAATTTGACCCGCAAACCCACCTGATGTTGCTGCAAGGCCGAATAAAATCAACCAATCTCCATCGGGTTGACCCACCTTGCCCAAGCCGTTGCAGAATTTTTTTCCGTCTTTCGAGGAGGTTCAATCGCTCGTATTCTCTTCTAACTGTGCAACGCTAGCCTGTGGAAATGGAGGCGAAAGACAACCACAAAAAAGTCGGATGATGTATGGGTATTCGGACGCGGGGAGTCGAACCCAGGTCTCCCGCTTCATTTTACAGTGCGTGCAAGGGCTAAATGAAAGCGGGTGTGCGCCGTGCACCACGTCCGAGTTCTCATACTACCGGTTCCCCTCTTACATCTGTACTTCTCGACTCACTGTTCCTTCTCGAATATCCATCTGTTGACCAACGGGGGTTATCCATCTCAGTTTTCTCGCTTTACACGATCCAGACGCGGAAGACGAGAAAAGACAAGACAATTGACAAGAATACAAGATACAGTTGATTGCGGTAGTGGGGAGGTATGTGTGTAAGGATGTAGGGAGGTAGGAGTAGCAAGAATTATACGGAGGCTATGTACGATGGATATGTGCAGGGCGGCTATGTGGGTGGGGATATGTGCAAATGCGGTGGAGGAATGTGTGGGTGAGGATGAGGGAGGTATCGCGAGTAGTATGTGCAGGCAAGAGGGCGGGTGGTGGATACAGTGTAGTGGTGGCGGGCGCAGACGCAGACGCAGACAGGAAACAAGCGAAACGGGACGAAACGATGACACCCGCACCTCAATACGAATCCTGCCGACTCGAGCTCCGCCTCCCCTCCCTGCTGGTACTTCGACTCTCCCTCTTGCCCCCACCAAACCCAAACACGCGCTTCAAAAGCGGCACCTCCTTCGTCGGGCTCCTCGGCTGCTGCGGCTGGTTAAACAGCGCCGGGTGCGCTCCCCCATACGGCGGCGGCCCACCACCATATTGCTGCGGCGGCGCGGTGACGTATCCGGGATGGTACACATACCCCTTGGTCCCCACGCCCGCGGCCGCCTGCGCCGCCGTATACGGATACGAGTTCGACCGCGGGCCGTTCGCCGGCGGCGGCGCCTGTGCGAAGCTGTAGCTCCGCGTCCTCGTCGCTTTTGGCGGCGGTGGCGGCGCCTGCGAGGTCGAGCGGGAGCGGTTGTGTCCTTGTGGCGGTGGGGGTTGTGGCGGGTACGGCGCGGCGGGGAAGTACCCGGGCGCGGGGGCGTAGTAGCCTTGGGGGTAGAACTGCGCGCCGGCGGAGGGGGGGAGGGGCATGGGCTGTTGGAGGCCGTAGACGTCGCCGCGCGGGGGTGCGGTGCGCGGGCGCTGTACTGGTACAGGACCGCGGTCGAGGGGGAGGGGTGGGGGCGGCGAGCGCCGGTGGCGACGGGACTCGGACTTGTCGCGGTCGCGGTCACTTGACCGCGTGCGGTGGGTCTTGGAGGACTTTGAGCGGGGGAGGGCGGCGGGGCCGGTGAGCGGGGTGGGCGGGGTGTTGTGCGGGTCGACCTGGGCGCAGGCGCTGACGCCCTCGCTCCAGCCGCGGACCTCGCGCTGGCGGGCGAGGAAGCGCTCGTACGCGTCGGGACTGTAGTCGTACTCCGTCATACTTGGCTTGACTTTTAATCGAGGGGTATTGTCTTTTCGGGTGGGCTTCTCCTGCCCCTTCGAGGCCGGGGTGGGCGTGGGTGAGTGAGTCAGGAAGCGTGGGTGTGTACGGCGTGTGTACTCGAATCTCCCCTCGAGCGTCCTACGCTCACAGCGGTAGCTTGGGAGAGGGGGACGAGGGGCTTGTGAGGGCAGACGGAGAAAAGGACATGCTGATTGTGGACGCAAATTTTTTTATGTGGATGACCACGTGCCTCGTGGCGATCACACGATCAGCGGCAGTAATTTCCTTTTCCGGCCGCCTCTCCTTCTTTCCATCCTTTTCCGTCCGTTTCGTTCTAGTCTTGCCCTTGTCCGTGTGCAGTCCTTGTTGCATCCTCTGCTCCCTCTCCTAATCATTCTGACTCGGTTCTGGGGTGGGCGACGCCACACTATCCTATGCTGGGGCACTGTGGCGCCAGTCGCTTGGGCCAGCTATCTCCGTGACATCACCGCGCGGCTGTTCAGTGCGACACCGAGCTTGCCTTCCCGCCGACCCCGCCGCGATCTCTACCCTGCTACCCTGCGCTTGTCAGTCAGCTACCCGCTTACTCCTTCCCCAGACCTCCCCGCATTACGAGGTCGCTTGCCGTCGCGCGATTATCTGACGCAACACCTCGCCTACCCCACGTTGTCCAGTGCACGCACACACACTCGACTCACGAATCCGCTATATCATTCATATCGGATCCTGCTAGAGCCACATCCGTGCGTGCCTTTCGTGCCGTACGCGGACGCGAACTCCCGGTGCTATCACCAAGCCAAACTGCGGATTACACGCAGCTTTCGCACCCCACAGCCAACTCAGGTCGCCGTCGGTCCGAGTCGACGGGATCGCTACTACTCGGTTGCTTAGGATTTACCCGACTATTCGGTTACTCGCTATTCGTCCGTCCGCTCCGCTCGCTTGAGGCTCTCCACATCGGACATCGATATCGCAGTCTATTCTCTGTGGCTCCTCTTTTATTTCCTGTGGCTCCAAGCTCCTCCCCGTCCGCATGCCAACCAACTGCCAGTGCTACTCTTGTTCTGTCTAGCTGGCGTGTTCTGACTTACTTCTATTGTGTGTATTGTGTGTACACGGCACTTATTCTTATTCCTGGCATTGTGTATTGTGTATGTGGACAGGGGCGCGATGCTTCTTCTGTGTGTACGCGATGCTTATTCCGAGCCGTTCTGGCGCTGGCGTTGGTTTCCATTATGATTCCGTGATTCAGATTCCCATCCATCTATCCCTTCAACTACCTTCTGGACGAGTATGATTCCGATCCAATGATTCATTCCAATCATCCTTCCCACTTCGCCCACTTCCGGTAACAAATTGGCAATCATCTCAGCCCAGTCCTAGGCCAGTCCAGATTATTGGTATTCCAGTCAAGTCACCCGCGCTGACTCGCACTCATTGTGGATGGGCTATTCTAGTTCTGGGTCCTTTATTTTTTCACTTTATCCATTTTCGTGCCGGTCTTAATATTTGTCTGGATTCGCGATGCGTCGCATTCGATTCCGCCATTCTGGATTTACTTAATGCTTTTGCTTTTCCCTTTTTGAGGAGGTTTTTCCTCATCTTGCCGGACGCTATTTTGGGTCCGCGAGGGTCCATGTGTTTTTCGTCCCCTTCGTTCTTCCGTTTCCGCCATCTGTCTCCGCTCCAAGTTTCCTCTTCCGCTCAGTTGGATGTTCCCTACTCCGTTTCACCTGTGTTTTCCCCCGCCCCCCGCTCCCCCCCGCTCCCCCCTCCCTCCCGCTCTTAAAAACCCATTTTCCGCCCACATAGCCATCGGCCTCACGCTCCTGACCGGCCGAACTCGTCCTCGGGCTCGATTCCCGAACCCCGAACCCCGGGCGTGGGCATATCCTGGCATATCATTGTCAACGCCGAATAGATAGAAATAGATCCGCTGTCGTCTTCCGGGGATCTTTCATTTACGCTTCACGCAGCACAGGTTCGGGTTGACGCGGGCCGATTGGGTTATCTACGCGTCGGGTATTTAGTCTCTCAACCGAGTCAACCCTGCATTGTTCTGCGTTGTTCATATCTTCACTGCTCCCCGTCTGACTGGAGCTCAATGGTGGAGTCAGAGAGAGGAGTTATAGAGAGGGAGGAAGACACGCACGATCCGCGTGCGTTATTCTTCTTCTCTCCAAAACTAAGCCTATCGTAGGTATCCTGTTCTCCACGACTCTTCTCTGTGACGACTGAGCTCGGATGTAGAAGATCAAATGAGAAATTAGGATTCAGTCGAACACGCACGATCCTCGTGTGCATGCATATCTGGTGCCTGCGGGGGAGCAATAAGCAATACGGAGGACGGTGCGTAGGTCCGCATCAAATCAACTCATATCAGCGGCGTTTATCTCGTTATTGATAAGGATTATCACGTTTCAGGGCGTCTATCTGCAAGCAGGCGTCGGTGGATCCCTGTGGATCCGCAACGTCAAATTTAAAGTCAACGTCGAGTGAGGTTTGAGTTTGGGTTTGGTGCGTGTACGAGGCGTAGGGTGGGCGCCGCTGATCAAGAGGGCGAAGGCAAATCAACAGGTACGTACGTTGGATCGGGCGATATTTATGGCTGAGTGGCCGCTGCCGCCCCTTAACAGATCTTTCGCAAATCTCCGGTACTGCAATTTCCGGAGACGATGTTGAACGACGTCCAACCAACCATTTCAATGTTTCGGTGAATATTCCATCATTTTCTTCACCGATTCATGCGCATATCTCCAAATTCCAATATCCCTCCAACCACAAGTGTTCAACACCAGAAACTCCGAACCAAGCCTACAAACTCGGACGTGGTGCATGGCGCACACCCGCCTTCACTGTACGCTCTTAGCATCCGATGGGTTGAACGGGAGAACCGGGTTCGATTCCTGGCGTCCGAATTCGAAGTAAGACGCGGTCTTTTTTGCCCTCCTCACCATGAAGTATAGGCTCCCGGGCGCGGACGGTCCACGCCTCAGTGGGAGTGCCGAACACCATTTCTCTATTTTCTTCGCCGGTCTCTCCAACCTCTAATGTTGCATTTTGCAGTGGAATAATGAAACCTCGACAGCTTCGAACCAAGCATATGAACTCGGACGTGGTGCATGGCGCACACCCGCCTTCGCTGGATGTTCTGACCACCTGTTGAACGGGAGTACCGGGTTCGATTCCCGGCGTCCGAATTCAACTGCAGTTAGCTTTTTCTCTATCTCTCACTGGCTATTGACGGACACTCCCCGCAGAACATTTAAACTGTGGACCCAAACCTCGACATTGGCTGGTTCCAGCGGACTTTGGCATATGCTATGAAAACTCTCGTACCCAGCCTGCCCACAACATAGGAAAGGAACCCGGACGTGGTGCATGGCGCACACCCGCTTTCACTGTGAGGTCTATGCATGCGAGAATTGAACGGGAGAACCGGGTTCAATTCCCGGCGTCCGAATTCGAAATAATAACCGTTTTTTTCTCCCTCTCGTTCAGCAGAAAAGTAATAACTAAATAATATCTCAATATTAAATATTGACGGATATTCCCCCCCCCCCCAGAGCTGCCAAACCTCGACACAGCTCCGAAGAGCCTAGCTGATACGTGGTGCATGGCTCACACCCGCTCTCCTTGGGGGGATCCGCCGACGGCCGTAGATATGAGGCGGGTGAACCGGGTTCGATTCTCGGCCTTCGAATGAAGAAGTAACGCATCATCTTTCACCCGAGCTCCTTCACCTTTTACTGGAGATAAACCGCGGCCGGGGTACGCTCTGCCATTCGTTTCTGCATTGACGACCAACAGTTTATCGCAGAGCTCCTCTGCTTTCAGTGAGATAAATACAACATCAACAGCTTCGAAACAAGCCTGTAAACTCGACGTGGTGCACGGCGCACGCCCGCTTTCCTTGGGTGTCTTCGTCACTCATATGAAGCGGGAGAACCGGGTTTTCCCAAGCTCCTTCACTTCTTGTTGTGAGATTATAAGTAAACCGCGGCCGGTTACGTCCACTTCTTACAGTGGAACCTCCCCAGGTTCGAAACAAGCCTTTAAACTCGGACGTGGTGTACGGCGCACACCCGCTTTCCTTGTGGGCACCGTCTTTATATCACTGCGTTCCGACCCCCTGTAGACCCAGCGTAGTCCGAGGCAGGTAGACTGAGGTAGTCGGAGGGTAGACCGACCCTTTGCATACGTCGGACTCCAATGTTGGTCTACGTCGGTCTACTCGTGTTCACCAACGTAGTCCGACGTAGACCCAACGTAGTCCGAGGTACACCAACATAGTCCAAGGTATCATGGTGATTTTTGGGGGATCTTTGTCCAATGTGTTGAAAATTACTGTGGTCAGTCTACGTTGGTCTACCTGGGTAGTCGCATGTAGTCGCAGGTAGTCGGACGGTCGGTCTACGGGGGTAGACGAAGCTAGTCCGATGTAGTCCAAGCTCGTCCCAGCATTGGTCTACTACCCCTTGTAGACCGATGTAGACCCACGTAGACCCATGTAGACGAAGCTAGTCCGAGGGTAGTCGGGGGTCGGTCTACTTGGAGTCGGAACGCAGTGTATGAGGCGGGAGGCCCGGGTTCGACTCCCGGCGTCCGAATTCAACTGCAGTTAGCTTTTTCTCTATCTCTTCCTGACCATGGACAACTCCCCGCAGCTCGTTGAAACTATTGACCCAAACCGACACAGCTTCGATGGTTGTCGCGGACTTTGAAGCACCGCGGTATGCTATGAAAACTCTCGTACCTAGCTTGCCCACAACATAGGAATGGAACTCGGACGTGGTGCACGGTGCACACCCGCTTTCCTTGCTGCGCTCCGTTGTTAATATGAGGCGGGAGAACCGAGTTCGATTCCCGGCGTCCGAATTTAATGACTTGTTCCTCGTCTTTTTCCCTTTCGTTCACTCACCCATTGGTAGCTTTCTGTCTGCGGAGCGTTCGAAGTACAGTCGCCATATGGGTTCCGGAACAGGACCAGTTCCGGAACAATTGAGATTTCCAGGCAACGGTTTGTGCTGTGACTTCGTGTTTTTGCCTACGTCATCTATAATGCCTTCTTCATAATCCTACCAGATATCGAGCCAAAAGCTTTCTCCGTTGGTGCATGGGAAATGATTCTTTCTGATGAGCCATCAAAAGCCAACTACCCATTATGGACATCCAAGGATTTTCAGCTCTAATGCCGTGGGCCGGGCTTTGCGGACATTCTGTGTTGGCTGCACGCATCATTTGAGGTGTCCTAGATGGCTATGGGGGAAGAAACAATTTTTCAAGTTGCAAATTCGCGCACAAGGGATGATGTTCCGGAACTGGTAATATTGCCGAAATCTGCTGACCAACTTTGCACAGACTTTGCCAGAGGTTAAGCCATGCTGTAACCTAGAGAGAAATTGTAACCTATGTTTTCGAGGTCACAGAATCCGAATATACACTTGCGCATCAGCATTCACTAGTTTGTTATTCACAATTTACCACATGTTGTTCCGGAACCCATATGACGTAGTCTCTTATAAACAGACGCTACAACAATAAAACTTGTACCTCGTTTGTTGTAGTCTGTCAGTTACCCGAGGTGTTTGATCGGAGTTCGACCTTATCAAAATTCACGCCGCTCATTTCACGCTGCACTGCGCGCCCTTCCCCAATTTGAGGCGCCAGACACATTCCATACAACACTACAATCAACTTATCCAGCAAAGTTTTAGCGAAAAGAGGGCGGAATGGCGATGCCGAGGTTGATCGCTCGGTGCTGACTAAACCTAGCAAAAAACTTGCGTGTCGATTCATGTGTTAGATGGAGGTCAGAGAAAAATGTGAAGAGACAGATGTCTCGAGAAGGTACTTTAAAACAGTTTGGCTTCTTAGGATCTGTCGCTGTGGCAGTCGCGGTTGTGCAAAGGGCAAGAAGGAATCCAGAGCCGAAATGTTTACATAATACACCTGGACTCCAATCACCGGTGGCGTGGTTAACTACAGACTACATATGACGACTGTATTTACAAACCTCGACACAGTTCAGAAAAGCTTGGCTGTTCGTAGTGGACTTTGGAATGCCGCGGTATGCTCTGAAAGTCTCGTACCTAAGTTAGCCTGCCCGCAACCTCGCACGTGGTGTATGGCGCGCACCCGCTTTCCTTGTTGGTAGAAAGCTAAGTTTAGGCGCGAACACTAGTACTGGGTTCGATTCCTGGCGTCCGATCAGGAAGTGACTTTCATGTCCTTTTTTGTCCTCGTTCATTTTATCATTCCATCCACTATGACCTTATTTATCGCTGAATATTACGTGGTTCCGGAACGAGGTTCAGCACCACGTACTCGCTTACCGCGGACCGTGGTTTACGAGTAATTCGTGGTTCAAGAACGTGGTTTCTGTGTGTTTCGTGGTTGTGGAACGCACTTTTTGAGCTTTTCCAAGGTCAGTATCCGGGATATTCGAGGTCTCTCCGACACTCATCGTGATTGTTCGTGGTTGAATTTGGCGGGGTTCAAAGTTACAAGTTCCATCTGCCGAGCATACCGACTCCACATCAATCAGCAATTGATCTACCCAGCGGGCCGAATATCGATCCAATGGGCTTTCTTGGAACTTTCGCAAGACTTTGCAGCAAGATAGTTCCCGTCCTGCGGGACAGTGCCTCCGTTAAGCCCGATTCATGGTATGACTGAACAATCATAACCTAACTTAGTGGGGCACCGGTTGTACTCACACAATGTCAAGGTCGCAAGTGACCTCTGCAAGTGAATTCAAACGGGAGAGGCTAGTACGGGGTAGGCTGGAATTTCAATGAGTAAATACTCTACGGTGAAAATGGGCCTCTTAAACTCCGTTCCAACCCAGCCTTCCGGGGGTCTTGCCGTATACCGCACGAATCCGGCCGATCTCGGCTCACCATTAGCCCCGGAAAAGGTCAGCTAACCACGACCACGAATCACGAATCACGAACCACGTCGTACGTGCAAGATCTACGGAGCACATAATATTCAGCGAAAAAAGCTTTTATAATCCACGCAGACCTATTGGCTGATGTTTTCCCCAGAAAAGTTGGGCTCATCGCTATTCACCAAACTTGGGAGCGGGCTAAGTTGCAAAATTATCTTTCCTACCGCATTAAAAATGGAGGAATTCCGATCAGACGTGGTGCATGGCGCAGACCCGCTTTCATTCCGGAGCTCTTTGAGTAAGGAATATTGGGCGGGAAGACCGGGTTCAATTCCCAGCGTCCAAACAGCTAGGAATCAACCGTTGTTACTTTGTGCCTCGTTTTTTCTATTCTTACTGGGGTTTTCATCCCCTACTGTAGCCGGTGGTAATTGACTTTTTTGCATTTCGATGGCAAGTTCTAAACATTCTTACCTATGGCATGGTAAAACAAGGAAAATAACAACTCGGATGTAGGGCGGAGGGAGTGACTCCGACTGAGAAAGGGAAGACAACCTTGACGCATCAAGGAACATCAAAGAACAACATAAACAATACACGACAACGTCGCTTCCTTTCTCCACCATCATGTCCAAGTTAGACAACCCCGTTCGTCCAGCCTGGGGACAGCTCCAATCAACTCAATCCGTGCGCCTGCAGCTTGGCCTCCGCGCCGATGATACAATCGTAGAGGCATTGTTCGCCCAGCGAAACGCCAAAGGGCGTCATCACGGGCGGCAGTGCTACACGCCCAGCCGCATGAGCACCAGCCCGTCCCAAATGAGCACCCACAGAGCTGATCACGACAGCTTTCAATTATCCTTCAACGAAGCCAAAACGAACTGGTTTCGCCCTGGTCAAACGGCCCTCAGCGCCCAGCAGGACATTTCAACATTTGTTGAGGCGCAAGAAAAATGGGTTAAGACTCATGTTGGACCGAACACAGTTCATGCTGAGGCAGCAAAGTGGTAAGAGATACTTCACTTCGCCACTGTTGCTAAGCTTCTGATCCCAGGGTTGTCGGTTCATATGCTGCTTTGTTCGCAAGCTGGTCGGTGGTGTCTATGCGCATGATACCCATTGGTGGTGTCGGATCCCGGCAATTCGCAGTTAAAGCCGAAGATGATATACCACCGCACACCATGTTGCATGAATTGACAGGACTCTTGTCATCCGACCCGGCTGATGGCCGCAGCCACTCCAACTTGTCCGTCATGTGGGACTTGGACGGCGTGCAAAGGGTCGTTTTTGGCCCCATCCGCCTTATCA